GGTGGGCTTTCCTCTAGTGACTGTAAAGCAAGATGCAGACGGCCACTGTATTCTCCAGCAGGAACGTTTTTTGGCGGATTCAAGCCTAAATGCTGATGATAACTCGTTATGGGATATCCCTTTGACATTTTGCACATCGGATGATCCTAGTACGATCAATCGTATTAAAATTTGGGACGCAAAAACTGCAGCTTTGACAATGCCAACCCCTCCAATGACACCATTAGCCGCGAGTGACGAGATAAATAAGCTGATACAAGTGCCTACAGGAGCTAATGGATGGGTGAAGCTAAACCCAAACCAAACAGGTTTTTATTTGGTCAACTATTCTCCTGCCTTATGGAAACGTTTAGAAGTTCCTGTGAAAGAACAGACTCTAGGCGTTCCTGACCGCATTAGCTTATTAAACTCAGTCTTTACATTCGCTCGCGCTGGCATCTTGGCCCTACCAGTTGCATTGGACTTTACCAGTGCTTACATTGGTGAAACAGTTTCTACATGCTGGAAGGAAATCTCGCGCAACATGGGGTATTATTCTAGTCTTTTCCGTGATGAAGCGTTTTATCCTGAACTTCAGCGCTATATTCGCGCACTTTTTGCGCACGTGATGGATTGTTTGGGTTGGCATTCCGATGCCTCGAAGCAAAGTGAACCCGATGAGGGTGAGTTTCGAAAGACAGTCATTTATCGCTTAGGACTTGCCAATGATCTGGATGTCATCAAAGAAGCGAGAAAGCGCTTTCATGCCTATATTGGTGGTGATCTCTCTGCTCTTTCAGCTGATCTCCGTAGCTCTGTGTTTGATATCGAGATAACATTTGGTGAAGCTGGCAATGCCAAGTTGTTGCAAGATTTATACAACAAAAGCGATTTCGCAGAGGAACGGAGCGATTGTCTTGGTGCCATGGGCTTAGTGTCGGGTTTATCTGCTAAGATTCAAGTATTGGATTGGGCCGTAGAAAATGTGCGATCCCAGGATATTCACTATCCGTTTAGCAGTGTGGCGAGCGACAAGCTTGGCCGACAGATTGCTTGGCAGTATTTACAAGACAAGTGGGACTTATTGTCGAACAAGTACTCGGCTATGACATTGGGCTACATTGTATGTGGTGTCGTTTCTCAATTTCAGAGTGAAGCAATGGCTGTAGAGGTCGAGGCTTTTATGGTGGGCAAAAATACGTCGGGATACAAGCGTCGCCTGGAAGTAGCGCTCGAAAGTGTGCGCCTTAAAAGTGTTGTTCGCTGCCGCGACCGTGAATCTCTAGCCATGTGGCTGAAGGAACGAGCTGTTTAAAGAGATTGGAGTTAACGAAGCGGTCACCACCATACATACTACACATTTACACGTGCTATATCTTGTTCTTCCCAATGATGATAGTGGACTGTGCGTGGACTATGATACGGTTTAGTACTCCATTTCACTAGGTAATAAGCAGAAATATCTGAACGTTGGCGACTCTTGTTTGTGACGTTATGTGTATTGGATTTGTAAGTATCCAGCTTAAATGGCATTTACAATGCTCCAGGACTGCCTCAAATCCAATTTTGTTCAATCCTATATCTAATATCTTCCAATAAACAACCTGGCGTCAAAGGTGCTATAAATTAATTTCGAGAGAAGAAAAAACCGCGGCAGCAGAATAACCAGTCGTCCATGAAGGCGCAACAGGAGACAAGGACAGCGTGCTGTCATAAACGCCTTCTTGTTCTCAACAATGTACGTCTGAAAGCGCGCGACAACGTTTGCTTTATACTTCCAATGAATATGTTTGCATCAACGTTTCTCGGGAGCATCGCTTACAGCTGGATCAGTTGGAGCTAAGGAAACCCGCCCTATTCTTAAAATACCTCTAGCTTTCACCGCAGCGCGCACCCCACTAGTATGTGGGCAGAAGAAAATAATTGCATACAAGCTTTGAGCAAGGAAAAGGATGTTCTTTTTCGCATTCACCTCTCGTGCTGTAAGCAATTCTATTAGCCTGCAGTTCAAGTATTAGGGTTCACACCTAGGTTATTAAAGGCTATTTCCACAATTCTCGATTAACTTTGATGGATAGTCTAAATAATTTTGAAATAAATTGCTTTGATCATAAAAACTATCATAACCTACCATCATAACGTACTACTTATTTATAATGTACCGGAAAGTTTCTAACCAACAGCGTTCAGCCTGGCTTCGAAACTTGATGTCTAGGATCGCTGCGCCGTACATCAACCCACGCAGATGTTTGAACCTAATTAGCAACTTTCAAGATCATACTTAATTGATTCAGCTCGCATTTCAAGTGAAGCTATCCTTCGAACACCAAATGCAGATGGTTACATTAATAGCTTTGAAACGACGCATATCTTATTAAATGCTCGAGTCTGATTGATGCTTTTCATTATTGAAAACTGATGTTTTTTCTGTACTGAGAAACAATTGACTCTTAGATATAGGCCTGTTCCTACTTATTGAGAGTCAGAAAGAATGCCTTAGCAGCGTCACGCCATTGACTGCGACAATCATGTGGCATAATGTACAAGTGCCGTGCGCACTATCCGAAAGTGAACGTTGTAAGACTAATCACAGATGAGTAGTGGTCATTGAATGAATTTGACGCTGGCTCTATCTCGTTGTACAGGGTTACACGTACCCAGAGTATAACGGAATTACACGTACTCTTGTATGAAAGGGTGGGTCGCACAAGATGGTGTGACCGTACAAAGGTGTGAATTACACAAATCGGTGTAATCATACAATGGTGTGGCTACATCGTAACAAGAAGGCACTACGTGGTAGGTTTGCTTATCAACTTGGTTTTACTATTTAATTAGGACAATCTAGAGTTTTAAATAGGCTCTACCACAACTTGGACAATCGAATACAGTTTAAATTTTGAACGGAAGAGTATGTTTTCCTTGGTCAAGGCTGTTAGGTACGTAGCGGATCGCGATCCGCTAAAATCGATCTGTTCTTGACGTAAGGTCGGTGACCATAGCTTAGCTTTCTCTAAGCCAAGAGCTGCGGCAAATCCGTTGCACTCGTTGTGCTTCAACAAAAGATAAAGCGCGAAGCCATGACAAGTAATTGCCAAACTAGTACCATGTCAAAGTACTTTTTGACATTAAATTACCTAAGTGCGGCCGGTACTGACATGAGCTGAATGAGGTCGTAAGACGCTTATCGGAGTGTATACTAGTGTACAGGAATGGAATGGTAGGTCTACGCTTCATGCGTGTTTAAACACATGCTCCTTCCTATCTTGTCACAGATTTGCCAACGTCACATTGCACACCGATCGAGCTACACAAACGGCTCCTTTGGTGATCGTCGTACAACGCGGAGGTGCAACAGTACTACCGTTCAATTCTGGAGCATCGCTTGCTGGTTGCGACGCAGGATTTTTTCGATGTCTCTAGCGCTGCGACCTGGTGAGCCAGGAGTATCGACGCTGATGATAATTTCTTGTTGAAGGCACGTGCACAATGTTGTCAATGCACATAGTGACATTCTGCTGTGTTTATCAATCGTTAAACGGCGGTGTGAAGATGCAAAGCACTTCAGAATCAACAAAGTGTTTGCTTGAGGCCCGAATCAAAATCATGAACGAATGAATTGTCAAGTATGCTGCGATACAATTTATTAGCAAATTTGCAGTCTATATTGCTACTAAACTAATATTTACTATGCGACGTTAACGCAATAAAGCTCATACGTTTCTACCGCCAATTGTATGGCACTAAACCTGGAATAAACGTATGGCGCAAACGTTTAGCTGACAGCTGTACACCCATAGCGCATCGCTGCCTAGTCATGTGGCAACGTGCCACGCGGATGCTTGTATCAACTTGTTGGCAATTTGCGGTACCATCCGAAGAGAACAGACTCAACAAATATCTTTGGGCTAACTACTGCGATATTGGTGTTCATAAAGATAGGAGGTGTCCGCTGTACACGCGGGCAGCTAGCCGCATGTCACCAAATAAAGAAAGTTTTATTTTAAATGTTAGTAGGACGTCAAAATAGTATAAATTGGTCAAACTTTAAAGAAATGGACTTTGAAAAAGCGGAGCGAGCTTATAGTGTATCACTCTCAGTTTCGCTCCCTGTAGCAGCACACACAGCACAATGAAACAATCTTTGTGCGTTTGTGTGCGTGGAGTTGAATGGTCAAAGTTGTAAAATGCACTGCAATTTCGTTGCACCTGGTAGCACATGAAGGCAGTACCAAGATCGATTTGTGGAGAAACATTTTCCGCTCTGGATGTATCATCAAATGTTTAAACATCTGTCGTCGGGACTAAATCACCCGTCTACTAAGCTTTGTCTATATCGTGCCTCAACGGCTCGTAAAAAATGGTGGCCAAAAAGTAGGACGCGGTAGTCACTAGTGCTCATTAGCTTTAAAAATGCGTTTGGTAGACAATGAAGGAGTGCTGCAACCATGCTTTCGTGGTGTTACTTATGGCGTTCATCGTGAGATCGCTGGTGTTGGGAGTCCAGGCTGTTGAGGGACCGCTGGTTGAGGGAAGCTGTGATGGTCATATTTTTGACTTCGCGCCGCGTGGATATACAACGCATCGCGCTTGAGATCGCCAAACTAGTTGATTTCATCAAAATGGGTACTTGCATAAGAAATCTCGATTGAGAGGCGCTCCTATCGTGATATGATTTCAAGCGACAGATATCATGAAGCCACCCGGCAAGGCTGGAAAACTATGTCCAGGAGTTACGGACTCATATCGCCGCAATCATTTCCCGGGGACGGTTACGGTTACCGATTCTTTGAGCGCGTGTAGCTCGCAATGGGATCTTTACGCGTCTACTCTACATTCCTCAAGGCAGCGGCGTGCGTCGCATTCAAAGTGTAGTATGAATTACAAGCCGCAAGAGCTGTATAAGGCTCTGAAATATAAGGTTTCTTATGAGCGCCAGAGGAGATATAATCAACCATGCTGATAATTAACGAGAAGGCCGCTTTAGCTGCTGAGTAGCCTCGCAGTTCTCACAGATTATTCATCTGAGTTTGTGCAAAATATCTGTGCCTTGCGTGCTCTCTTCGCTTTCATTGAGGGATACAAAGGTCGGGATGTTAGGCAAGGGCGGACGACAAACATCTTGCAATAAAAGTTGGATTCTCAGAATGCGCAGGACGGCCTACTGAATGTAATAGATTGTACTATATCTCGTGCAGATCGTGATCAATGAATTTATCTTTCAAATAAAATTACTTTTATAGAGGTAGGGCTATCAGCAGCAGGGCTACTGTAGTTTTTTATTTAGAGGAAGCTTGGCTAAGGCCATCGACCTTACGTTTTTTTCCAAGAACCAGTCCAAGAGTAGCGGACTACAAACCGCTACTTCCAAGTTCTAAGGCCTTACCAAGGGAAAAGAACGCTTCTGTTCAAAAACAAAACTGTATACAATTGCTTTAGTTGCGACACAGCCGCTAATTTCTAAAATCTTAGTTTTTAATTAAAATAGTGATGCTTGATTAGTATAGCAAAATCTGATTAATATAGTAATATGCATTACTACTGGCAATCCTACCACGTGGTGGCTTCTTATTACGGTGAAGCCACACCACTGTGTTATTACACTATCTTTGAACCGCCAAAGCCACCGAAACCCATCATGGCCATCATTTCAGCATCTGATTCAGAAACTACATCCACTGTTTCCTCTCAAACACCTGAAGCAATAAGACAAAAATCGTAGCGATTAACTTTGAGCCCATGAAAAGCTTAATGTTGAACAAAGCAAAATTTTGCGAGTCTTGATCCAAAACAATTGTCACAGTCGAGCCAAGTCGGTAAGTGGCTTTGTAGAGAAGAAGCTTCGCTCGCAGTAACTCGGTCTTGACTTAGATCCTCACTTTCACACTACTGTGTAATATACACCTATGTACGATCGCACAATCCTGTGTGACCCGCCCTTTCTCACAAGTGTAACCCCGATACACTCTCCCCGTAAAATTTGTGAGTATCCCAATTCTTATTTGACTGTCGCCTCATACGAGGCTTGCGTGTCTGAACACCTTGACGTTCTTTAGACAACTCTAAACCTTCTCCGCTCTACGAGTACTGTGTCTCCGACACACAAAACAATCAGCCTAGGTGGTAGCAAGGGCACCCGCGGGTAAAGCCCTTCTTCTCCTTCGAAAAGTACGTCCGCGGCATCACGAGAAGCCCATCCCGAGCCCTCGGCAGCTGGGCGCGACACACCACGTCCGCCCTGGGCGACAAATGATCTCATCGAGGAGTTTAAGGGAGTCGAACACAAGTCGGACATCCCTTTCCCGGCATGTGGTGGCGAGAAAACTGAAGTACGCCAACGGCGCGACGTGAGTCCACGAGCACCATGTCCGTTCCTCGACCTATCGGCTTCCGGAGAAAGTGGTATTATTCCTTATCGCCTTGAAGAGGCACAGAAGCAGCAATTGGAGGTTGCTAACATGGCAGCTCTCCTGTGCGCGTATCCACGTTCGGTCATAGACTTCGTGTGGAATAGGGCTTCCGCTTGACCGATCCCGCTACTGAAGCAAAAGACTCGATCACTCGATCATTAGGCTCTACGTAGCTGGGCCTTCAGCCACTACACAAGCTGAGCTTGACCAGCGAAAAGTTTTGCGAGCACGCTTTTTGGTAGCTCAAGAGATCCCAATGGATCGGTACCGCGTTCGACTTCGATCTCAAAAAGGAGGTGCCTCTGCTCCCGCAATGCGGACCATCACTGTGGTGCTCGCCCCTGGCGGAGCTCTTTGAGCGATTGGTGCATGGGCACCGGAAACTTTCCTCGCTGTCCAACTTACAGCGGAGTCACAAGGAAGTGGACGTGCGCGTAGAACGTCATCTTCAAATAAAGTTTGCCAAACTCAAGGCACAACGACGTCTTCCTGCAAATTGTCGCTCTGCAACACATGAAGTTATCCATCGCGCCCCCGCGAGCTATGTGTTTTCTTACACGGGTTAGTCTAAAATCACAAGAGCTCAGGGCTATAGTTTGAGCTCAGCTCATAGACCTCCAGCCTCTAGGGCTTCTGCCGAGAAGCGCAGGGCGCACGACAATGCGAAGCGTCATGATCGCTCTGAGCATAAGCGTCCATGACGTCTGAGCAGTCTTGCCGAAGTGGCACATCAAATTTCCACGAGTTCTCGGAGTCGGGGTATCCCCGCCACTTTACAAGATATTGAATTAGCCCCCGTCGACGACGCTGACCCACAAGGCGTTCCACGTGGTAGTGGACGCCGCCGTTCTCATCGAGAAGGGTGGACAGCGGACGGTGACGACTTGGTCGATCGCTGCCAGGTGACTCGCGATGCTTTTGAGCTATTGGACAAGGTCTGTTGTCATCGGTATTCTGCCGAGCATCTTGCGGAGGTCGCATACCGCTGTGCGGAAGACCTCGAGAGCTTGGAGCCCTTTGCGCGCCGAATACCTCACTTTGAAGGTTATCGCGCTCTATCGGAGCGGCTCCTAGCCGTCAAGCAGACGAACAGGTCAGTTTGTACGACGGTGGAGCGCCTTGCGCCGTTGGAAATAAAAATTGTTTCACTCCGTGCTTAGAACCAGTTGCTGGTTCAGCTCTTGGAAGGCCGAGCGCCTGTGAACGCTGCCCCGGCGCTAACGTTTCCGTGTTCATTTGCGCAGGATCGCGGTACGGCTTAAGCAAGCCCACATAGAACACCGGGTGGGTGCGCGTCAATCTCGGAAGGTTCAGCGTATACGCAGGGCCTCGCTTGGCCATGACTTAAAAGGTTCAATAAACCGTGGACGAAGCTTCGTCTGGAAGACAGCAGATACTGCATATGTAGGAAGGTTTCTAGCATTTGATAAAACCAGGTCTCCGACCTCAGAGTTTTCAGCTTTTTCCATTTGTATTTTCTTTCTACATTTCTTGCCTTTCATCCGTTGAATCGCGAACGACTCGCACAAAACTCAGTCTGGTAGACAGAAATTATCGACTTCTTTACGGCCAACGAGGGGGCTGGCATCAGCTAGTCGTTCGGTCATTCCTATCCGACCAAGCCCCAATCCATAAGATGGCAACGTCAGCGGGACGAGAGCATTAACAAGTCCATTTACATAGAACGGCATGTAGCTGGTAGATGAATGCACTGCTTTGTTCAGAGCAAACATTACGCGTGGCAGGACGGCGCTCCAGCGCTTCGACATCTCAGCGCAGATGCTGCAACGACCTTCTTCAGCGATGCGATTGACGCGCTCAGTTTGGCCATCGGTCTGTGGATGACCCGTTGTTGACATAGTATACTTGCTGCCCAGCACCCTGAAGATTGTCTATCGAAACTTCCCAGTGAAGCATGGGTCTCTGTCAATGACAATTGACTCCGTGAGTCAATGTTGTCGAAGGACACGATCCACAAACAGTGTCGCTGTACCGATACCGTCGATGGTGTCCGGCACTACCGCAACATGAGCCATCTTGCTCGAACGGCCCACAAAGATCACCGCACCCGTGTTGTCCGCCGAGTATTTCGGCAGGCCAAACGCAAAGTCCGAACTCATTTACTGCCAACACCCGGACGGTTTCGGCAAACTGGCCAGCGGCGCCGCCGCATCCGAAGAGAGTTTCGCCCTTTGACACGTCTCAAATGTGCGAACATACGAGCCCGTCCATTTGACAGCTTGAACCACCTGTAGTGGCAACAAACAGAGCTGTACGTCCTCTCACGACCAAAGTGACCACTGCGTGGACCTCATAGAAGACACGGTATTCCAAATCCTCATCGTGTGGAACGACAATTCGTGGCAATCGGTGCGATCATGTAGCATCGCGTTATTCAACAAATATCGGCGTGACCGTTAGCGCAATCGTACCGAAAATTCCTTGTTCGAGTTTCCAAATCTCTTGCTTTCGAGAGAGATTGGGGCAGCGCAACAAACATACCATCACTCGCGTATACGGCGCGGATCAATTTCGTCACTGATGACGTCACCGTCGTCAGATGTGAAAGCTCATAATCTGGTTTGCGAGACAACACATCAGCCAATGCATTCTGATTTCCTGACTTATACTTCACCTCGAAGTTATATTCTGCAAAGAAGGAGAGCCACATGGCCATCTTCTGCGAGAGATGAGACGACTGAGTGGCGGTGCGTAATGACGCATTATCTGTGTAGATGACAAACGGCTTTGAGCCAAGCAGGTGCACCCCGACCTTGACAAGTGCATACTTCTTCGCAGGTAATTTCTTGCTGTGGACCGGGTGGCTCTTCTATGCAGCCTTAAGCTGGCGAGATACAAAACGATCACCCGATCTCGCTTCACGGCGTCTGCTTGCCGCAGCGCATAGCCGATGTCCGAAGCGCCACAGATCTGGCAACGCCAGTATTGATGCATGCAGGAAGCTCTCTTTGACCCTATCAAAATCCTCCCAATGCTCAGTGTTCCAACTCTATTCCGTATCCTTCTGAAGGAGATTCGACAATGACCGTGCCATTTCTGCATAATTTCACTATACTTATGCAAGTAGTTGGCGAGGCCAATCCACTTGCGCAAGACTTCTTTGTTCTTTGGAGCTAGCCACTTTATCTGTCCTCCGTGCCCCGCGCGACTGTGGACGAAGATTTCGTCGAAGTATATCAGCTCATACGCCCGGTGGCACCTGAACAAATGCGTCACAAGATGTTTAATGTTTCCTGTGCATTTGACAGCCTGTGGGACATCACCAGCCACTCTCAGAGCATGCCGCTCGGAGTACTCACCGTTGTCAGCGGAATATCATCCACTCTCATGAGCAATAGGTAATACCCATCAACCAAGTCGAGTGCACTGTACATAGAATACCCAACCATTTTGTTTAGGAGGGCACTCTTCCTAGGAATCGGCGTCTGACCAGGAATCTTTGCAGCGTTGATTTTGTTGTAAGCGTGAACGTTACGCCACTTGTCGTTCGGTTTCCGGACACAAAACGTGGGTTTTAATTTGGGAGACTTGCTTTAACGGTGTTACGCGTACCAGAATGTAACGGGTTACATGTCCCCTTTTATAAAAGGGTGCGTCACACAAGATGGTGTGACCGTATGTAGGTGTGGACTACACAACTCGGTGTAATTACACTACGGTGTAACTACACGGTAACAAGAAGCCACTTCATGACGGGACTGCCAGTAGTTATACATATTGATAAGGATTACTGTCTGATTCGATAAAGCTAAGTTATTAGATATAGGCGGATCTGCCGCATATAAATCAGATTAACACAGCTTCAATTTTGAACGGAAGAGTGTATTTACCTTGGTTAAGTTTTGTGTACTCTTGGAGGTAGCGGAGAACGAAGGTCGATGACCTTAAGAAGCCTCCTCCATGCAACGGGAAAAAAATGTGAAGTGACATTTGTTATTATAGTCAATAGGCTTTTAACCTTTCTAAACTGATTAGTACTTCCAGCCTGATATGCAGCAGAACCGAAAGGGGATATACGATTATACAGGGTGAACAGTTGATGTGAGATACATTCAGTATGTGGTCCACCCAATATTTGAAACCCATTACATGCAGCGCCACAGGATTCAATTTGATGTAAGGCAAGAAAGCTAATGCTTTCTCAGATGCTGGATTGGACTAAATTTCCATCGACAAAGACGTGAAGAGAAAAATGGTTGACTATTGCAATAATGATGAACTCTTTTACTTGGGTCTGGACGAAGTCATCATTCCAGATGATATCGTTTGGATGACGGATTGGGTTGCTTACCGTGATAAACCAATCCCACATGCATTTATCAGCGCCAAGACTGGTGATGGCGTCTCGAGTGAAGGCGTTGCCATTTTTGCGAACATAGCACTTCGTTCCCGAAATATTTATCTGAAAGTGCCACCATTTACTGTAAAAATCTATGTGGAACCGATGGGGACGTATCTAGAAATGTGATGAAGATTCAACATCGTGAGTATGAAACAAATGTCCATATTGTATGCATTTTTGACGGAACGAAGGTGATCAAAAATCTTAAAGGTTTGAACACGCAAGAGTATTGCGTCTGGTAAAGTACTGCATTTATACGCAGGATGGAATCCGTGCGCGTAACATGAATTTAATTGTATCAACAGCGATTCATTCTGATCGTTCGAAAACGATCAATGAAAACAACTGGCTAATATTCCTCGATAGTGACGGCAAGCCACCAATGGGTCTTAATGTATAAGGCGCAAACCTCTTTATTACCCCATAAGCTCGACAATTATTCTTTGATGAGGCATATTTAGGTATTATGAGGGATGGTATAGCAAACAAGTGCTGTGTCGTGTGCACGTCGCATGAGATTGTGGCGAGTATGCTGCTCGAAACGAATGAGTTCCTTTCGGTCAAGGACGATCAATTGATTGGTGTGGTTGATAACTCCAAGCGCTGGCTCGTGCACAGAATCATTTAGTTTTTTGTGAGTATAAAGATCCGACGTTGGCTTTGCCACCTGTTAGTGAGCATATTAGCCGCGCAATCAGCGTGTGCATGACGCTTAGTCGGCTCATTTTGAAGATCCATGCGAAGGAATACCAGCAGCTTTTGTTTACTTTGTTTGAGGAGCATCTATGCCCAAACTCTGCGAGATGGCACTAGATCCGTGCAACAAATCCCTCCTTCGGTTTACATTCGCGCTATAATTGCGTTGGGTTTAGCCGGAAAGATTAAGTTCCGTGACGTTTTGAAGTTTACGGAGGCGCTTCCAAAGTTAAACACAACAGCAAACTTGCTGCCTACGGACAGTGACCTCGCTAAGATCCATCGGTTCCAAAATTTTCGGTAACAGCATTCGCTGCTTCCATCGGGTTGACCGAGTGACCACATACTTGACGCTGACAGTAGTGCATTCATAGCTGCATCTTCCAGAGTCACCAGACTCTGGCGGAAGCCTTCAGTCTTGGGGGAGGGCATAATGAATTCTTTCATGAAAGCGGTGACCATCACTGCCTCCTAGCACTGGTACGTTTGTCATATTGGTCTGTACATAGTCGTAATATTGTACCGTTGTCTTGACTACATGACAGAACCTCGACCGTTGTCGAAATGCCACATTCGATGGTAGGAACATCGATTCCATGATTTTTTTAAACTCTTGCCATGTGGCAAAGTAGCCAGGAAGGTTGACTTTCTACGTCACAGACGGCAACCCAAATGAGACATGGCAAAGACCGCTTGACTACGGTCTTCACGAATTTGAGCCACCGTGATAGCGATGTTCTTCAGAGCGCAAGATTTTCATCTTCGGTCACGTCAAACCATTTCACTCTGATCTCTCGGAACGTTCCGTGTAGACCGGCGGTGTCACCACCACTTGTAAAGGAGGTTACGGAACCAGAGTCGGTATGTTTTGCGGTAGAAATCCCCATGAAAGCTTGCCCATACACAGCAAAATTTGCTAAGCATTGAATTATCGCTTCTTGATCCAATTGGAGCATATCGGAGACCGCGTGATCTCTGATTAAAGGTCGCAGCTTTACCACACACTCTCACTGCGAGTGTGTAAGGAACGGTTATTCCTCCCTGTTGATCCGAGGACGATTACCGTCTGTGGTCCATCGATAAATCCATCGATGTAGTCAGCGTTGGAATGACTACTGGTGCCACTAACAGTGCCTGTCCATGTCCGTACACTCCGATAAGCAATCAGACTCGATTATTTAATGGAATGTGCGTCGCTTCAAAGCTATTAGTTAAAAACCAGCTGCATTTGTTGTTCGAAGGCCAATAATCGATAGCCCTCTGACTTTCTGCACATCGGATGTTCCCTCTATCGTATTAAGATTTGGGACGCAAAAACCGCAGCGTCGACAAACTCAATCCCTCCATTAGCCGCGAGTGACGAGATAAATAAGCTGATACAAGTGCCTACAGGAGCTAAGGGATGGGTAAAGCTGAACCCAACCAAAGAGGTTTTCTATTTGGTCAATTATTCTCCTGCCTTGTGAAAGCGTTCAGAAATTCCTGTGAAAGAACAGACTCTAGGCGTTCCTGAGCTTATTAGACTCAGTCTTTACATTCGCTCGCGCTGGCATCTTGGCCCTTCAAGTTGCATTGGACTTACCGGTGCTTACATTGATGAAACAGTTTTTTGTGCTGGAGGGAAGTTTTTATATGGGGTATTATCTAGTTTTTTTCGTGACGAAGCGTTTTACTTTAAACTTCAGCGCTATATTCGCGCACTTTTTGATCACGTGATAAATTGTTTGGATTGACATTCCGATGCTGGTGTCACTGGGTCATATTGGCGAGTTCTAGCATGCTCGACTTGAACATGCACCACATCGTCAAGCATTAATTCTATCGAGAGCACTCGGATCAAAATCCAAGCTTGGAACAAGACAATTTCGTGACGCGTTGGCGCACTAGAAATATAGTCCTGAGTGAATTGATCAATTTCGGTAGCTCTAGTTGAGAATCACTAGTGGCGTATGCTCGGATGTCGACGGACCAGTCAACTAAAAGTCTGTGTCGGGTTTTCACTACAATGTGACTTTTAAAGTGATGTTGTCACACTTTATTAGCGGCTAAACGAATCTGAAGTTTATGATCGCCTCATTGACTCTGGGACTTACCGGGACAACAACGGAAAAGCGTGTCATAATTTTGCAAAGTCACAATTGAAGCGAGTACAATAGCAATGCATCAAACACTTATTGTGAAAGGACTGAGGTGCTACAGCAGTTAACGACTCCGTATAAAATCGCAACACAACAAAACAAATTAGCGCCTCAATCTTTTTGAGATGGCGCGTTGAATGCCGTAATAGTATCAAAATGCTGTCGACGATCTGCTTCATGATTGGACCAGAAGTACGAGGGTCGCATGCTCGCAAAGAATCAAGGAACGGTTTTGCTATCTGCTCTCTTTTGAAACTTGTCGAGTGCTTGCAAAAATTCGTCGTGAGAGAGCCAATATTTTGGCTGCAAAAGCACGAGATAGATAATCGTTGAGGTGCTGTAGTAGATGACACGCGCCGCAGCGCTGGAAAGTGGGAGACGTGCAGTATTGATCGAATAAGATGAAGAATGAGGGAATCGATGGATGTTGTTGTTCTGTAACTCACTTGCTCTGAATGCATTAACGTCGCGAGTTTGAACCCCACGGACAATGAAAGTACGATATCAATTAATTATAGAGGCAGAAGCGTCGATGCCTGGCTAGCGAATCTACAATTTGAGTATCTGCACTGCTCAATTGCTCAGGATGGTTGTTCGCACTGATCCTTTCTATCGCATCTACAAAGATAAAGCTCAACAGTCGAAGTAGCTCAATTGCCATAACCTCTATTGATAAAGTGCAACATAAAAGTCCACAATAAAACGAGTAATGATTCCCTGTATTCAGTTAGAATTTCTAACATTATAGTAAACGTTAAATATCTTGAACTTACTGAAAAATCCATCTAGCAGGCCGAGCATTTCTCGGACATCTTCTACAGATCTCCCTTCATCGAGCCACATGGTCATCAAACCCGCGCAAAGTCTTTCGGCAATGGCTCTTTGATTTGTAGTCGCATCCTTTCCCAGCCATTTGGTAATGAGACTTACTATGTCCTTTTCGTTTGCACGTTTGGTAGTCAAGAGTTCCTCAACTCCAAACGTAATCTTGCCGCCATTTTGATCGACAATAAGCTCGTGAAGATATAAAAAGCCAATTCATTTTCCGAAGAATCGTGGCTCATATAATCTCTTAAACTTTTGTGATGTAACAGCAAAAATGGATCATCTTTGATGTCCCCCTCCTTGAGCTGGAGAATAAAATGCTCAAAGTTGTCTTCCGGGATGTCAAATGATTCCTTGATGATCGACTCAAACTTGCTTTCCTTCTCGAGTATTTTGAGCCGAGAATCTATAAATTCTTTATTGAAAACAAATGTCGGTGTTGAAGCAGGTGGCACTGATTTGACTGCTTCAGCTGCCCTGGTTGAAATCAACGCCACCTCTTGTTCCGGGTAATGTGCCACTTTCGTACCAGGTGATGTTGATCGGGCTGATTGAGCTTCCATGTTCGAAATGGACGCGATCTCGTGTTCTGGGGAATGTGTCAACTCCGAACTGGCTGACTTAAAGCTCAAGCTTGGACTTGACGTTCCACTTCGTGTCGCGAGAGCTGTTGAACTTGGCTCTATCATTGACATTGGTAGAGCTGTCGCATCGATTGAATCCCGTTTCCTGAACGCTGTATCAGCGATAAGGCTTAACTTCGCCTGAAGCCGCTCGAAAAGGTTATCAAACCACCCTCTCTCTTCGTTCTTGGCGTCGTTTTTCATTGCTTTCAAACCTCTCTCCGACCCTCTCGTTATACGCTTAGTCGAGATGTTCGTAAGACCAGAATCATGATGAGCGTTCGGACTCATTGTGTTCGACTTGAATGTCTTCGAGGAGCTAAGAGCAGCGAATGCAAACAGCACAAATAGTATTGTGCACAGACGTATCATTGCTTTGCTGTTTCAGTTCAATGAAAATTGAGAATTGCCTTAAAATGCCTTGTGTTGTTCTGGTAAAAGGAGAGAGATCGTTCAGGTGACAAACCATGCACTCCAAAAGCTCAATAACCAATGAAATAAGGAGCTTCTCGAAGCATTTACATGTACTGGTTCGTATAAATTTCATTTTTCAATGGGATATTCTTGAAAACTGTAGCTGGATGTAAATTCATGAATCCCCGCTTGCGAATCTATTAGGATGTTGTCGCATAACCCTTGAATCCATATGAAAGTTAAAGACTTTGATCTTGTCATTGAGGGGGTTTTGCTTGTTATCAATAGTGAGCGAGAGGAAAGAAAGTCCCTCTCTAAACTTATATGTTAATATATCCCGATCATTTTTAGAGAACTGATATATCTTTTGAGACACAGTTTGGACTTTAGTACCGCGTTTCGCAGTTGCCTAGGTCAAAGGTGTTGGCTTATAAATAATTCAAAAAAGACTGTAAGGACGCATATGTTGGGTATATGTGGCTATTTATGTCTAGATTCCTGACATCTATTCCTGTATGGAATTCTGGTGTAATTGTTTTGAACTTGGCCTTGAAAGTAGAATATATGCTAATGCGGTAAGCTGGCATCCTGTTTATACACTGAGAACCTACATGACAAAATCTGGTCTGAGACATATCTGAAGATTTACAAGGTTGCGAAATATATAAGTAAAAGCTGGAAAGCAAAACTTATATTGACGCACGTTGTGCTTTAATCTTAGTGTTGTTAAAATTATGCATAAGAAAAGCGACAGCTGTCTTTGAAACGCTTAATATGCCGCGCCTCTTGAATCATGTAGATTGCTAGCTAATGTGTAACATTTCGGTGTTCGATAAGATCCTCGTCGTTTAAGATGCAGCTGCTCAAAATTGAAAACAAAATTTGAGTACATTTCGTTGCAGAGCTGAACTTCTTGTGAACCTTAAATTAAATTTATCATCCTTATCTTTTATGATGGGATCCACTTGATTTTCCCTAGATGAACGCCAGGCTTGCTTAATTAGCCGGTTTTACAGATATGGTACCACGATCCCACTCTTACATGTCAGTTGCTCGAATGCAGACGGAGCAACAGCCATCCCCTGTAGCTGAATATCCTCTGCTTCGATAAAGTGAGCCGCTAAGAGTGCCACAAACCAGGCATTGCGACCGCGAATCTCAGAGAGCGAATCAGAGATCTGGCTCACCTCAGCTGAACACAAGAGTGAAAAGGGTTTTGAGATTAGTACGGTACACCAACGAGGCATGTGCCAAAAGTCTACATTTGATGAGAATTTGAGTTATCTATATAAATATGATTTATGACAAGGCGCATAACATCTCCTATCGATTCAATTTGCAAGTGCAGTTTCTACAAACCCTGACAAGACTATAAGAACTTTGTCCGTGTGCTTCAACATACGGTATCCTTGCATGAAAAAGATGCTTTTATAAGTGATCAAGCGTTTCTAATAAGTGGGAAGGGTCGAAAGAGAGAGCATTGAGGATGTAGATGCACAAATAATTTTGCGATAAGCAGAAGTTTGCTCTATGGAAGTCGAGACAATCGTAGCTGTATAGAATTTGTGGTAAAAAAATACTCATATAATTTAAGTCCAAGCGATCTAGCTATCATTTCTCGGGTACCCATTGTAGCTTCAACAAACCGCAAGATTCACGTAAGATAAATTTTAAATCACACAGACGACTGCTTAAGAAAAATATAGTGTATGATAGAGCTATACTGCAACAAGGTTGCCGTTACATAGAGAAGCTTTGACTCTAAGAGTGCACATTTACAGAGGTAGGGTTAGTTCGCTTCTACCAGACGCGACTCGAAAGCCCCTACCGAAACTTGTTATCCAGTCAGCTCTTTTATTTTCAAATGTGCATCTACTTGGAACTGATGCTAACTCGATGAAAGCTAAGTATCATTCATGATGAAACTGCCTTAAATGGCTAGCGGGACATCTTTAAAAGGACCCGTCCCCTTTAAAAATCTCATTAAATTCATAGATATCAATGTATGAGTACATACGAAATTTATATATCATACTGCGCCTGAGGCTCTTTCCATTCTTTTTACCTTACCGCGCCTGTTGTTCAGACCATACGTGCACCGACAGCTCGATTCCGTGCCGGCAACAAAAGGTCAAGCAAACCTTTACTTAAACGCGGTCTCCGCGACTGACGCGCTCAAAGAATTATTGCAATGTGCTCACCAGAAAAATGATCGTCGAGTGCTGACCAAACACATTCGCTTTCAACCGGTGATAAACAGCCAAGCCGTTCTTCAGGGAGGAGGCGCACATTGCGCTCAGCCTTTCCGCTGTACAAGTGTCTGACCCTGTGTCCCTTTCCCTAGGCGGGATGTGTTATGACATTCCGCTGTGTAGCTCATGACGATTTCCAAATTATCGCCAACGAGCCAGATCTGCTTCATAAATAACACCCTGCTCTACTGTGAGCACAAGAGTAGCTCCAACTTTTCCAAATGCATCATGCCGTGATTTTCGACTTAAACCAGCCGCTGATGCTTGCCGCGCTAGTAACGCCAGTTTTTTTAACTCATCACGCCACAACTAAGATTGAAATCACCCAATGATGCTTGCCACGCTTGTATATGTCTCCCACCCGCCTATGCGTATGGGCCTTCCGCTCTAACTCAGAGCGAAACGAGTGCAAAACTCGCTCTGCGAGCGCTTTTGTCTACCCGAAGATCTTCAATAGCCACCTGCACTTATTGTAGCAGCGGCTGGGGGACTTGTACCCTCCATTGGAAATAAATACTGGTAGTAGAAGCTGACCAAAGTGATACTGAGTATCAGACCCACTTCGCATACAAGATGAGAAGCGAACGCTGCCGCATGTTTGAGAACTTCACAAGCTAGCAGCAGCTTGGCGGATCGTCGCCTTGAGTGTCGATTCGTGCTCAACTTTGCGAAGTACAAAGTACCATGCAAACAAAATGCTGACTGCTCATCACCTCAAGTTCCTACCGCTTACAGTCCTACTCGTCCACATGCCATAGCGGTAACAACTACCAGCCAGGGGGCGTTCTCACCGCGAGATCGGTCACCTACCACTGTAGGAAAGGCGCATTAGATCGTAAGAGGCTACGGCATCAGAAATTGCAAAGTATAGCCTTAAACTCCCACAATAAGGAATAGGTTTCACTTCACCATGTACTAGTAACAGTTCTGATATGCTTGGTGGTCCAGAAAATGCTCATGTGGAAGTGGTCACTCGTGTCGTTCAAGCCGTGCCAGTAAGTTTTGGCATTTACGCAAATTTTCTCTCATTGTGACGACACAACGATTCCCTTCAAAAGTCACTCCGTGCGTTCGAATCTGAAATGAGCCGTATCTCGGATTCGCTCTCCGAGGTTCGCCATCGCACTGCCTTGCATGAGGCGACCCTGACGGCTCAGAACCGTTTCGCTTCTTGAAATAAAGGAGAGCCAGCTACAAGGGAAGATGGCTCCGTCTAAAAAGAGCTCTTCGCAATCGACTGGAGTGTAAGATGAGATCGTGTTATGGCTTCGGTAAACCCAATTTAAGCATAGGATGCGCTCTCATTCTCTTTGAATGCTTAGAGGTAAGCTTGGTCCCTTCTTCCCTTCGACCGTGAGCGGTTCGATATACCGCGGTCAAAACTTAACGTAATGGACCGCAGGCGCTGTATATACGAGAACGTTTATCACGTTCGTTATAACTATTTGATCCACAACATGTTTGTGTTACACCTGTCTTTGGCTTCGAAGTATTGCTTTTGTTTTATCGCGACTTTTTAGCTTAGCGTAGCGCACCCTGCACACGACACTCAACCCCTTGGAAATTATTCACTGATTTGCAACAATTCGTAACCAAGGTTGGAAAAATTTCAGCAGATCAAACGGCAGCCCTTCGTACACTGAGACGCCAATTCAAGGCGGTGACAGTAGCCTCAAAGTGTAGTAAAACCTGTAAAGTCATGAACAGCTCTATTCAGTTCAAACACATTGAATAGAAGTGATTTGCTACAGCACCGCAATTTTTCCGCGGAAGCGCTCCGGAGGATATCCGTGGGGCGTAACAGACAGTATCTAGGACTGCTTCGGTCACTATGTTCACAATGGAAAAACTTCCCTTGTGTCACTTACCCGTATTGCGTCTGTGCTCCGCACGGTAAATTGATCACACAATTGTCACCAGACTTAGCAGTAGCGTCACATCGCGGAAAGAACGAGCCTTCCTTCATATCGTCAGATTTTGTTCCTTAATCTCGCCAACTGTTTTCTCCCTTTAACTGCACTGGTTTTGTCACGAAAAATCGCAGAACTAAGGCCCTTCGACTCTCGATCGACGAAACGATTGCTCACAGATACTATTTACCGTGCGGCCAGATGCATGAAGCACGGCACAATGTTTCCTATCTCTATTTCAGAAGGAATACATTGCAGTAACTGCGAATAACAATTTCTCTTTTTTCTTATCCTATGATTGCGGCTTACTGTCGCTTCTGCCTTCTAAGCTCTGCTCAAGGTAAGTAGCAATACCGCTTCAACCTATTCGAATGATTCCATTTTCTTCTCGAAGCGATAACAGATTTGTGCCTGCACCAAACGCTCTTCTGTTGCCTTTACAACTCGCCAAACGCTTAGAAGAGAAGAATACTTCTGTCACTACGTCGATCCATGGCTTGTGGCGAACCGGCCACACCTGATTAAAAAAGAGATTGTGCAGCGGGGCTGCCGTAGCGTTGCGCTTAAAGAAGGCGTAATTTAGGTCACCGACCTTTCGATCTATACTTAGATCAAGTACGAGTTAGCAGATCGCAACCCGCTTACTCCAAGAGAAATGATTGCCTTAATCCAAAGCTAATTACTCTTCCGTTTAGAATCCAAATTTGATTTTTAT